AGAAATTCACTCTTAACTTCACTGTGATGCAAAGTGAACTAAATATGTAGATCAGTGATGGACTTATTCTCCTATTTGAAGAAATTGAAAACATAAATTCAAAAACCTAAAGAAAGGTGTCCATAAATGTCCAATGTTCATCCACCTAGATTTTTAGTGTCTCAAAATTTCCTTGAGATAGTCATAACTTTCCATTTTGCTTTCAGTGAAATAGATGTCATTCCAGAATACAGTGATTTCAGTTAATTTGTATATTTAATCCACTTGCTACTATAATTTATATCCAGCCTCATCAGCTTCCATAAGATGGAGAAGAGTCTCAGAAGACTCTTAGGAGAATGAAGAAATAAGCAGAACACATGAGAATTTATACTTATTTGTTTGTGCTACATAAATTTCAAAAACATACAAAACTAATCTATGGTATTAGAACCTAAAGAAAGAAATGGTAATACCTGGAATTGAAGTTGTATGTTTCATTTAAAAGGGTTGCAGGAATGAATGTTTGTTTATTTATTCTTTTTTTTTTTTTTTTTTTGCTTTTTTAGACTTTCACATGAGCATTTCTCTTATCTTTCACTTTATGGTAACAACATTTTCATTTTTGTATTTCCAAGTCCTATTTATTCTACAAGATCATACTCAAACTTCAATTTAATTATGAGGTCTTATTTTTTCCAAATCTGTACTCTCCTTCCTCTGTGACACATTTGGAACAGATTCATGTTTTACTTTCTCAGTTCCAATAAGCAAAAGTATCATACATAGCTAGGGTAGCTGTGGTTTAGAATTTCACTTCCAGTGGTGTAGTAGAGATGAATCAATGTACATTAAAACTTATTACATAGTTTCCTTTGAAAGATATTGAATAATATTTCAAAATTAACCTGAACATTTACTTTGATTGTTAGGCATTGAATGAAGTTTTCAACAAATTATGTAATTGTTTATTGTACTCTCAAATTTTCAGTATAAAACAATAAGGCATCATATAATGTGATATAATTTTGATAAAATTCAAGTTTTTACAATGTATATAAAACTTTTAGAAAATTTATAATAAAATAGATAGTACTAAAGATATTAATATCTTTTTTCCCTGCAAAGAAGAATCATGTTTCTGCTGTGTGACTACAGTGAGTCCATACCCCTGCCCTGTAATATTTTCATTTAATAAGTTTAATAAGTTCATATTTTGTGCTTTAGTGGTTAGAGATAAATAAGAACATCATAATTCTAACACTTGGCTTCAATATGTATAAAATGTCATCTTATCCATATCATTTATTCAACAACTATTGAACTTAACTCATAATAATTTTAAGTTATTTTTATCATTTGTTTTGAAATGATGTAGTTTTTTCACATCTCTGAAATATCAGGTGGAATCATCTTAGAGGTCTGAATTACAAAAATAGATATTCCGATTATGAAAAAATAGAAAAAAGGTACTGCCATGGCTTCATTCAACCCTGACTCTCCAGCTATAGGACAAGCCAGCGCTTTTCCACAAAGTTTCATTGGATTCAGATGTCAGGAGGTGGAATCTTTAATAACTTAAGAAGGAAACGTTGTTCATCACATTTCTGTTCTCAACTTTCCTTAGGTGAAGGCAGGGGAGTGGTGGTTTACACTCAAGATGTAAATGGCCAAAAAAGAAAGATTTTTTTTTCTTTTTTTTTTAAAGATTTATTTTATTTATTTATACAAGCGCGGGAGGGTGAGAGAATTCATCAGAGCCAGAGCAGGGAATAGAACAGGCAAACTGATAACGAAATACACTGCCGAGGGGAGCAGTGGGTGGCAGGAGAGGTCTGTCACGCCATGTGGGACATTCACTGGCTGGCTGGGGATCGAACCGGCGCTGCAGAGACTGCGGGCAGCTTCGCAGCCCAGCGCTCAACCACTGCATCACCAGGGGAGGCCCCCAGAAAGAAAGATATTAACTAAAAAGATGAATTACTTGATTATTATCTTCTCAAAAAAAAAAAATCACTTTGGAGCTTGAGGTTCAATGGCCATGGGGTATTTAATTTATACAAAATATAAGATGCTGAGAGTTGCATAAACAAAAATGGATATTTGTATCTTTGTCTCTCTGGGCCTAAGGGTTGGGATTCATCTTATATGATTCATCTATTTCCAGCAGGGCTTTGAGAACCCTCTTTCAGCTTGTGACTGGGTCAGAGACTCTCTCAGTACCTGGTTGTGGAGGTGCTGAGCTGCAGCTTCTATAATTTGTTTATGTGTTGGAGAGTTCTCGGCGTTTCTGCTTTTTTAGGTTTGAGTTTTACCTTAGATCTGACATCAGCAATTCACATTTCATAGCTTGCACTGCAGGTCAAGCTCAGGGTGTAAAGTGTGAGACAAAAAGAGAAAAAAAATAAGAATAATAATTACTCCATTCCACCCAGTTCACCCCAGTCAGTTCAAAGCATTTAAGTGTTTCTGTGTTCATACAGATTTCAGACTTGTGTGTCTTTGTACACTGGTATGTGTGTGCAGGCATGAACACACACACATATTCACACATTCTTTTTTTCCTCTTTCATTATCATCATTTCCTGCACTGTGTAGGGAAAGGGGGAATTTAAAATATCAAAGTTATTCTGTTTGTAAGAAATATCCCCTGTAGGGGCAGGATGGGACCTAGCATGATGTCTATGATGCGAGCAGATTGGGTAAAGGAGGAGTCCTGCAGCCCTCAGTGGGTTTCTCAGGCTTTTATTGAGCTTTACATGTAGTGCAGCAACCAGGTACATGTCAGGCAAGGGTGCCTGGAGGCCAGGAGGCTGGTAGGCCTCCAAGCCCCCACAAGTCTTCACTCTAGGCTTCTCTCTCTCTCTTCTGGCTATCTTCCCCCTCTTTTCTCTCCTGTCTCTCCTGCTTCTCTTCTCTAGGTGACTATCTCAATACTCCTCCCTTGGCCCACAGAAGTAAACAAGAGCATTTGCAACAATGTAACAACTGCAGGTGCCCATCAGGCAGGGCAATCCTAATGGTGGGAGGGCAGAAAAGCCTGAAAAACCATTTACCCTACATCCCCTTAACTGTTTTCTTAGGAAAAAGTAAAGTCTATTTGACAAAAATGGAATCTTTTACATTCTAACAATTCACACCCATTTCTCTATAAGACAGTGGATTCTATCAGAGTATACTTTATCTCATTGTAATGAGTATTACATAAATTTTAAACCAAATAGATTATGTTTCTTGAAATGTAACTATCAAAAAATGTTTTTAGGGCCTCCCCTGGTGGTGCAGAGGTTGAGTGCTGGGTTGCGAAGCTGCCCGCAGCCTCTGCAGCACCAGTTTAATTCCCAGTCACAGGAGGAGGGTCCCACATGGCACGCAGACCTCTCCTGCCACCCGCTGCTCCCCTCAGCAGTGTACTTCAGTCCTTCTGCCTGTTCTGCTCCCCTATCTGGCTCTGGTGAATTTCTCTTACCCTCCCGTGCTTCTGACTGTACCCAGTGCTTGTATAAATAAATAAATAAATAAATAAATCTTTAAAAAAAGGTTTAAAGAAACACCCTGGTTTTAATGTATTTTATAAAACTGAATTTGAGCCTCTCTGAAATCATGGGAAACCCAGTGACTGATTCCAGATTTTCCCAACACACAGTTACTGATGCCATGGTGACTAGGTATAGCAGTTCTTTTTCTCTTGGATGTTCTTGCTCTTCACTAAAAGAAGTCTTTGTTCTTTTTTTCCTGATCAATCCAGAGAACACTTTCTTAAATGTCATGTGTCATATATTATAAAACTCACTTTTATTGTAATGTTTCTGATGTATCTTAGAAAACCTGGATTGGTAATGTCATTTTGACCCTTATTTTATATTGCAAGCACAAAAAATATGACAAGTTGCATGTGATTAGATGTCACCACTTCACCATAATGATCCAATGTGAAGCAAAGAAAACTTCATTTCTTTCTTAAGGTATTGGGAAAACATATATCAAACTAAAGCAGTTCATTCTTCAATAAGGTGAGAATTACAAGTAATAATATTATATGATGACAGATTATAAAATAACATCTTTTAAAATATTTAAGTGTATGTATAAATTATTCTTATTGGAGATTTATTGTTTTTTTGGCTAAAAGCCTATTTTGTTGCCAAAGTTAAACTCGCATATTCACAAAAAAAAAAAAAATCATAGAAGAGCTTGGTAGTAAAACCAGTAATTCTTCTGTTTGTCCTCACTGTGGTCCTTCAGCAAGTGGTACTGATTCTATCTGCTTTTTTCTACTTTTATCATTTTTAAAAAAGATTTTTTTTTATGCACACGAGAACTGGGGTACAGGCCAGAGGTGCGGAGAGTGAAATGACTCACCAGAGACAGAGTGGGGAACAGAACAGGCAGATCAACCACAACATACTGCTGAGGGGAGCAGCGGGAGAGCCAGGAGAGGTCTTTGCGCCAGGTGGGTAGCTCCCTGGCCTGACAGGGATCAAACTTGGGCTGCAGAGGCTGCGGATTGCTTCATAGTGCTGTGTGCTTAACCCCTTGTGTCATCAGGGAGACCCTACTTTTACCATTTTCTATTGTAAAAGTATAGAGGTAAGTTTTATACAGCCTAGGATGTATCTTGGACTTCCTTTGTCTCAGCAAGCCAAAGTTCAGGAATATTTTTTCCCACCTCATCATATTATGTTTTTTAATTAATTTATTAACATCATCATGATGTTTATCTTCTGGATTATAAAATTATTGAACAGAACAAGAAACACTAGGTATTCATCTGTTAAATAGGGTTGTATTTTATTCCAAAGTTGTCCCGGATAGCCGAGGCAAAAGGACGTCTTAAGAGTGTGAGTCTTAAGAAGTTTGAAAGGGCAGCTGGGGAGACAGATTCAAGGTCTGCTCTGCCTCCTAAGCACACCACAGCTTTTATTAGCAGAAACAGCTAAGTTACAAAGTGCGAATACAGGATAAGTAGAACTACAGAACAAAGATTCACTTTTTTTGGTACTCTGGGACACATTCACCACCAAGGTTTTGCATAATCAAATTGTTCTTTTCTCACTCTCAGTTTTGCTGACACAAGAAGGAGCAACGTGATCTGCACACAGGCCAGTCTTCCTCAGCACTTCACACCTTAGGGTCTCCAATACAAGAGGAAATTATCTCCAGCTGATGAGAAAAAGAATAACTGGAGCATCCCTTGGGAGAAGGAAGTGCCTGGCACTGCCCATAGAATGCAGGGTGAGCTGCTGTCCGGTGTTCCTCAGCTCCATATGCCTCAGGTGCTGGTGAGGAGGTGTGAGTGACAGGTGAGTGTCACCAAGGGGCCCCTCTGCTCTCACTTGCTTTCTACCTCTCTGTAGTACCCAGACCTGTCTCTCTGACTTCTCTCTCTGTCCTCTGTCCTCTTCCTCCCTACACTGTGAGCTTATTCACCATTCCTTCATCGTGGGGGATTTTCTTAGACTTGAATATAGGGAACATCTATTTCACATATTTCCTCCTTCAGATACACTTCTCCAAACACTCCCTTCATAGAGAAAAGCAGGGGAGCTGGGATGCTAACATATTCAGTCCTGGGCAGCAAAGTTTTCAGCAGCTCTTATGGGGGAAACAATTCCCCGACCTCAGCACAGAGGTGCAGACATCTGCCTCAGAGCAATGGAAGTTCTGGGAATGGAGGGGACAATTTGAAAGTATAGAAAACATTTTTTTTTAAGATTTATTTATTTATGCATATAAGAGCAGGGCTACAGAGGTGTGGTAGGTGAGAGGATTCACCAGAGGCAGAGTGGGGAGCAGAACAGACAGATTGATTGAAATACACTGCTGAGGGGAGCAGCGGGCGAGGCAGGAGAGGTCTGCTGCACCATGTGGGTTGCTCCCTGGCTGGGGATAGAACTCGTTTTGCAGAGGATGTGGATAGCTTCATAGTGCTGTGCTTAACACTGCGCCACCAGGGAGGCCCATATAGAGAATTTTTAACTGAGAAAACTAGAAATCAAAACATAGTTCCAGATTTTTTCTTTTCTTTTTTTATTTGTTGAAAAAGCTAACATTAAAAAGCTTAAAAATTAAAATATGCACAGCAAAAATCTTATTTGCCCACCAGCTTTTAAGTGGGGATAATGGACCTTTGTATTTCCAGATAGTTAATCATGATCCAAGTAATTGCTCAGGTTTCTTAGTCTGCAGACCTCACGCACATGGGAATTTCCACTCCTGTTTACTCTTCTGAGTACAAAATGTGTAACTGGAACTATGAGCATATTTTCTTAAGGATATAACACAATAAAAATAATATTAAAATATTAATAATTTAGGACAACAGAGTAGCCGAGGTCAAATTCAAAGCTCTGAAGGGGAGGGAACAGGAAGAGTCCAGTGTTGAGGGAAGGGTTGGAGGTTAATGTTGACAGAGACACTGAGTGTGGGCTGAGGCCAGCAGAGTCTGTGCTGGAGCAAATGCATGTGTGTTTGTGTGTGTGTGTGTACTTGGAACAGTAATGGGATGTCACTTTGCTGCTACCTTTTTTGATCCCTGCCTTCCCAAGCTGAGTTAAGGAGGCAGGAAACAAAAGCACAGACTGAGACAAGGAAATACCAACCACTCTGTGTAAAGAAAATGAAATTCCACACTCTGTACAGACAGGGAGAGATGGATTGACTTGAAATACATAGTGTTTTGGAGATATATTGTCTGGTTCAATTGTAAGTCACCTTGAAGAGCTGCTTAGTTCTATCAGTTCTTAGTTTTCTCACTGGCAAAGTAATTATAAATATGTATCTTCGTTATTAAGTCTGTTCCAGAAATAAACACTCTAATAGATGCTAAGTGCTTTACTCAGTGTTTAGCACAATGTAATTAATGAATGTTTCTTGTTATTAAAAGAGGAAAATTTTATTTGTGGAATTTTATTATACTAAGTACAGATACTCTGATTTGCCTTTTTTTTTGTTTTTTTTCTATTTCTCAAATAATTTAAACAGTTATTTTGATGGTCAGTCATTTGAAAACAACAACTTTCTCTGACCTTCTTTTACATAGACAAAGTTTGGCTTGTTTGAGCAAGCAAGGTGAGAATTTCCTGTATTGTGGTCCCGGAACACTAAGAAGCTAGTGATTTTTTGCTTCTATTTGATACTGTACATCCATTCTAACCAATAAACAGGTCTTTCAAGAACATTTTTAGATACACAATTTTCTTTTTCATTTAACTTTCTGCTTACATCATGTTCTGATTCCTAAGCCCATCACTCACTTCATGACCCAACTCGGATTTTCTGGAGCAAGCACACAGCAAGCCTTTCCCGCACAGACCAGGAGCATCGCTTCTCATGGCAGGTAAGTGCAGCCCGAACCACACAACTCAAAAAATAAAAACAACTAGAAAGAGCATGTGATGGGTATTGCTAATTTCAGGGCAGGAATGGGAAAAAGTAACATTTTTAGATTTTCCACATATTATTGTTTCTGCTTAACTTTTTATAAATGATTTTTGTTCTGTCATTTTTTACACTGACGTCTTATTTGGTTCTTCTATATTACTAGTATATGTGAAAACATCTGATATTTTTCTTTTTCCTTCTGGCTTATTTCACGGAGCATAATTCCTTCTAGCTCCATCGATGTTGCTGCAAATAGTATGAGTTTATCTTTTTTGATTGCCGAATAGTATTCCATTCTGTATATATTCCACATCTTCTTGATCCAGTCTTCTATATTTGGGCATTTGGGTTATTTCTATGTATTGCCTATTATAAATAGTGCTGCAATAAACATAGGGGTACAGGTGTTCGACGCATAGAAATTATTTTGTGAAGCTTTTCCAACAGGTTAAAAGGAGGACTTCTGACAGGGATAGAACTAAATACTTATGGGTACTGATTTACCTGGTTAAATGATGAGCTACACAATCTGAGCATAGAAATAAGTAGGGAATGTCAAATGTTAACGGCAGTGTTTACGAGTTTATAAAAATTTAGCCTTTATGTAGTGATATCCAAAAGCTACCCAGATTCACATTTGAAATTTGACACACTAGATTGTTAATGCCAACACTCTTAGGCAGTAAGATGATGTTAATGCAGAACCTTCTAATACTCAGTTGTTTGAAGGGAAATGCTTATAAGAAAGTAATATTGGGAATGAGGAAATGCAATGTGTAGTACAAAATGGTTGCTTATGTATCATCATTCAGAGTACGTAAAGTAAATGTAGGTCCCTAGGGTGTCACCCCTACATTTGTTGGGGAAGCTCTCATCACACCGTGTCCAGCGTGTCCTATGTCTTTCTTCCCCATAAGGACATCCACAGAGTTATGAGCAGCCTGACATCACTTCAACAGGGAATGAACTGAGACAAGGAGAAGGGCACAGTCCCAGGAACTATGGTTTTCACATTGACGGATGTGTTACATGAAAGACTCTGGGAGTAGACAAATTAATTTTATTTCTGAGTTGGATGCTCACTAGCTTTGATCTTATAAATGAGTAAGATTACTAATGAATTTATGCCTTCTCATCTGCTTAATGAAATTCTTATCTTGAGATTTTTCTTGAGAAAATAAAAGTAAATGTCTGTTATGAAGATCAAAAACAGACCTTGTGTCTGGTCACTTCTATTCCAGATCTCTAAATTTCTATGCCAAAATAAAAAAAATAACTGGTTAATCAACTTTTCTGAGATGGAGTTGGTAAAGAGGATAATCTCACCGAATAATGAAGTTTGGTATTAGTTGGAGTTTTCGATGCAATGCTTTCATTTTCCAAGCTTTAATTAACAAGATGACAGGATTACCAAATCAAACTCAATTGTACGTATTTCTTGCACAAGTTTCTGACTATTAATAGGCCTGTGTTTTTCACTTAAGTCATTATCCTACCTCTTTTTCTACAGCTTTTTGCAACAACTTATGGAGGTGGATTTCTGGAATCTTAGGAGTATCATGCATTTTGTTGATAGCTGCATTGGGAATGTTGCTGCTGGAAATGTGTAAGTTTTTTTAAGCATACATATTTCTAGTCATATCTAAACTCAGATGAAACTATTTAATAATAAATATTTCATTTATTAATGGTCACTATGTTATTATTGCATAAATTGTATCTAATAGTAAATATCTAATAATTTCTTATAGTATCTGATAACCACGTGTTGAACCAACAATCTCCCCAGGAACCACCACCAAATTCCAGAAAGGTAGGATCCATACTTTGTAAACTTTGGCATTAGTAGAGGATTAAATAGGCAGTTTTCTGATTGTATTACAAAGAATAATGATGGAACATAACACTTGTAATACAGGTTGACCTACTAATAGTGGGATATTTCTTGGATGTAATAATGTGCATCATTTATAAAACATTAGCTTGAAATGACATAGTCATTTCTGTTTGTATTTTGGTAACACATCAAAAATACAATCTAGCTTATTTTAATTTTTAGGCTGTTTGCTCATTACCCAGGAATTTATCTCTCTTTCCTTTTGTTTCTATCTCTTCCATGACTCATAATTTAGTGCTCAGATTTCTGCAGCTCTAAACTCTACTTATCTAATGACAGCCACCTAAAGTCCAATATTCAGTATTTTATCCAAATGTTATCCATATTGTCTCAACATCTTCTGTGATCATATCCTTTTTCTCTTAGATATTTCTTTCTTATTGGAATATAATAGACATAGAACTTTGTGTATGTTTAACATGTACATTGTATTGATTTAATAAACTTACATATTGCAAGATGATGTCACTATAGTATTATTTAATAGCTCCATTACATTCTGTTCTTTTTTGTGGAGGAACATTTATGATCTATTCTTTTTTTTTTTTTTTGCAATTTGCAAGTGTGTAATACAGTATTGTTTAATGACAATGCTGTGCATTAGGTCCTCAGAATTTATTCATCTTCTAACTGGAGTTTACATCCCTTGATCAACATCTCCTCATTTCTCAACTCCAATAACCCTTCACATTATGTTCTACAGCACAACACCATTATAGCAAAGAGTCGAGTATCTTTCATGTGTCTTGAATTTTGTCACTGGACATAGTAAATGCTCAAGGCACTATCACTGTGAAGTGCATGATGACACCTCACACTGATTGATTCTATTTATCTTCCTTTAGAAAATCAGCTCTCAAGCACATATATCATATACAATGTACTTGTACACTTTATAATTTAGAAAATATACCACAAAATAATTTTCTCCTTTAAAGGTCTGATTTACTCCCAAATCTAGTTACTCCTAGAATTCACAAAAGGGATAGATTCAACAGAAAAAACATTTTTAACCACATCTGGAACATCTTAGTCTATGCTCAGGTAGATTTTCAAAGAATTTGAGGGGAGAAAAGAAAAACTCCAAGTAATTTTTGTATAAGGAAAGGGTACTGAAAAATAGAATCTCTAATGTTGATAGTTATGTTTTATTTTTTTCTTAGACTCTAACTGCTGTTCTTGCCAAGAAAGGTGGATTGGATACCAATGTAACTGTTACTTCATTTCCAGTGACTTAAAAACTTGGGAAGAAAGTAGGGATTTCTGTGTTTCTCAGAATTCCATTCTACTTCACATGAACAAGAGCGATGAATTGGCACGTATTTAATTCTGGTTTCCTGTATGTTTTTTGACCTAGGAAAATGTACTATCTAAATAAGCTGATTAATTTGATGTATCTTTAATCAGATAGCAGATATCTTTTGAACTAATGACTGACTAATGTCCTTAAACTTAAAACAATCATTATAAACCTACATAAAAAGTGGTCAAATATTTGTGCTACTGGAGTAAAATTCAAGACAAATGTCAAATAAAGTACAAGGAACATTTTAAGAGAGAATTCAAAGAAGATATGATGGGTTTATTTTATTTAAAAAGTCAACCAAATAACTATGAATTTTAGTTCTTTAATTGGATTTATATTTTATTTGTAAATCTGTATATTTTGTCATCATTTTTTGGGGGGTGGAATGAATTTGATCATAAACATTACTCAATTCTTAAGAAAGTGAAATATTTCTGAAGCTTCATGAAGGGTCTGTGCAGAATGTATAGAAGGTTATAGCCACAGAACTTATCCCTTAAGACACTGACATAGAATCAAATTTGAATGTTGGTCTCCTGTGAAGGAAGTATTCCTTGAAAACTCTTAACTCCTTTTATAATATTTTCACTTTGTGAAGATGTGCAGTTTTGTTGTATTTTTTTTTCCATAAATGAGCTTGATAATTGAGGGAAAAGTAGACTTTTGACTACCTCTTAAACCAAACATTAAAAATGCTTTAAGTTTGTGTGACTGAGAGCTTAAATGCTGGTCTCTAACTTCTTAAAGAATACTATCCCAGAGTAAATTTAGATTATGTTAATTTGTTTGTTTCTGTTTCCAAGCAGAACTTTATGAGGTACAATGAATACTTTTACTGGATTGGAGCTACCTACAGCGCAGATCACAATGGCTCTGCTGTCTCCTGGGATCAGTAAGTTTCTGCCAGTCCAGGGTTTTTCTGTTCTTCATTAGTTTATTCTTATCTCTCCACAAAATGTAGTTAAAATAATCTTTTGAGGGCATGAGAATACAGAAATAATAGATTCAGCAGAATAACAATGTTAGCAGCATATAGAAAATCTAAATGTATGCTGAAGTGACATAAGGTTTGTGTACTTGCAACCACAAAAGGGCTTGTGAAATAGGCTTTTTTATTTTCTGTGAAGGGTGTGTGTGCATGTGCAGATGTTACATCCAGGGAGATGACCAGGGAAAACACTGTGCCCATGACTTTCTTTATTCTGCTGGAAACCAGTATTTATATTTGCCCCAAACTCCCCATGATACAAATATCATGTATTTATTTTTGTACATTTGCAATCTTTGAATATCATTTTCATTCATAAACATGGGATTTCCAGCATTCTACAAAGACCAATTTTATGGCCTGACTTTTTTGCCTAGATGAGTTTAGTCAATACATCTTTAAGCAAAATTGAAGCAAAGTATATCAAATATTAAATTAATTAAAATCAAAGGAAAAAAAATCCCTCTGGTCTCAATGCATTTGATTATTGAGGCAAAAATCTTGTTTTTGTAATATTATCCTTTAAAATAGTGAAAATGTGGTTATTAAGTAAAAACATACAGACTCAGTATGCAATGCATCATTCAGATACTTTGAAAAATTCTATAATTTAATAAAATTCACCTATGAACATTCTCATTTCATTTTCCCATATGTTAACAGTTTTATTTTTGATTTTAGATTGTCACTCCTTCCAACTGAAAATCGCGTGAAGTGCTTAGCATATAGTCAAACCCAAGGTTTTTCAGATGAAGCTTGCAAGAAGAAAAACCTTTATATCTGTAAGCAACAACTTATTTAGGTGTTCTTTGTGGAAGAAGTGGGCAGTGAAAGCCCACCTTAGAAATGGTAGCTTTACCTCTTATACTATTACAGTTTTCTACTGCTAGAATCAGAAAAATATTTTCAATTGTTTCTGATCATATGATTTTCAGATGTTTTTAAGTGTTTTTAAAATTGATGAATTTGTGTACTTCCACCTGAAATAGTAAAGTATGAATATCAAGATTGTAATGAGTATTTTGATTTAATGCATGTTCAACACTGAATACGTTTTGTGTTTATACTTTCCTATATTTTCTCCTCACAAATTTAAATAAAACAAAATTCACACCAAATAATACATGTCAATATAACTTTAGTCTTTTGTGTGGTACACTGTAAATTGGGAAGAGACATCTTCAACCATGTTTGTAAAACTTCTTTCTGGATATCTGTATATTTATATTTTTAAATTTTGGTGGTTTTCTATTATGTGTCTTGATATTGGACTTTTTGCACTTAGATTACTAGGTATTCTATTGGTTTCATGGAATTGTGTAGTTAGTTCTCTCCTAGTTTGTCTGAGGAAGGAACAGTAGGAGCAAAATCTGAGCCTGTGATTGCATTGATGAGTGAACTTCACCTGCTGACATCTTTACAGACTCACACCCATCTCCAAACCACTGAGATCACAGACACTTAGGATTACAACTCCCAGCATTTCAAGAACCTGGTTTCCTGAACAGAGATTGCTAGGAATTATGGGCAGAGTTTAGCAGTTATGTTTGGCTAAAACACTGAACAAATGTGTGTTGTCACTCTTGCTTTTCCAGGTTTTACTTACACCCTGGTGTCTCACTTTAGATGGCATTTGTGGTAGGAAATATCATTGCACTGATCTTCCTTTGTCTCTTCTCCCTCTTATTGCTACTCTAATAAACACACCTTTTTAAAATTTCTCCGTTTTTTCTGCTTTTGGGTCTTGTCCCAAGTTCTTAAACCCGAGGGTGAGGATAGACCCAGGTCACTTTATTTCCCCTGGGGTTGCCCTATAACTATATGGTCTGCAACAGTAGGGCCATCACACACATAGTTGACCAGTTCACAAGACCCCTTCTTGCGTTGTGATTATGGGACTTGCACTGGGATTTTTCTATCTCTAACTTAGAGAAGCTTGGTTTTACTTCAGTAAATCTCTCTCTGTTGGTGTTGGAGTCAGATGTCCCACTTCTTGTTTGAAATATCTTTCTATTATTGTCTCATTTTATTTGTTGTTATTAAGTGGGTTGCTTAAGAATGCTCATTGGATCCTTATAGTTTTGTATCACTTTCTAAACCAGTAAAGCCTTTTACTACTTAAACACCTTTTCTAATTTCCATAATGTTATGCCTTTTGAATCTCTTCTATTTATATCCTAGTGCAGTGGCTTGGAAAGCTCTCTCCATAGAACTAGTTAGAAGTATCTTCAACTTTGTGGGCCACTCAACTGTTTTGATGCCACTCAACTCTTGCACTGAAGTAAAAAGAAGATATAAATAATAGATACATGGTTTGTCTTGCAAAAAAACTTATTTACAAAAACAGTGGAGCAAAGTTTGGGAAGTTCCTGGTTTTCTTTCTGCTATGCTCTAGTTTCATGTCATTGTAATAAAAAAAAAATGTTGTTTGGTTTCAGTCTCTTTTGATGTCATAAGAATGGTTTTAACATCTCTCTCTACCACAATCTAAAATCAATTAAACAAGCAAATTAAACCACAGAAGATCCATGCCATTTGAGCATCTCCAGATACACAGATTGTACAACCTTAAAAGTATATGTTTCAGTAGAGAAAATAAATTCTAACAGATCTCTTGCTCAAGCCTAATATTGAATGCCTATGTTGCAGACTAGGGAAATTCACCCTCAAAGTATTCTATGGAAAAGAAAACAAAAGAAAGCATAGATGAAATGCAAACATAATCAACTCAGGATGACAATATTGCAACAGCAAATTTCAAAATACTTTATATAGTTTTGAACTTGATAGATCATTAAATGAGAAGGGATTTACAATGTAAGATGAAAAGTGAGAGACTTGGGAACACATATTTTTCCTCTCTAGGAGAAGTAGATAATAAAGAAGAGGAGAGTGTCTTAGAGATGTGAATGTGAAAGTGAAGACAAATTCGGAGGGTTTGAGGATCTAAAGAAAAGAAAGAAAAGAACTTCCTCAACTCATATCATTACTATAGTGAAAAGTAACTGCACAGAATAGGGGATTATTGAAAGAAGAGAATTTTTTGTACTAAGAATCTTTACCACTGAGTGAATAAGAAAACAACTACAATCTCAAACATGGGCTTTTTAATAGTTATTCTGTATGTACAACTGGATAGCATTTATAAAAGGTTAAAATTGGATATATTTCTCAAACTGGATATGAGAGAAAACTTCAAAGGGATCACAGGTCTCAATAAATAGGAAATTATATGTGTAATTTAAGAAAACTGAAAGCATTTCTCTATGGTCTGAGGAAAACTTCCTAGTTATTCTAAAATGTAAATACAATGAATGTAAATATAAAGAAATATGGCATAGTATAAAATACCTAAATCAAAGGGAAAATAATTAATTCTATGGCACAGATAGAAAGCCAAAAATGTATCAATGTTTTGGCTACACAATAGTGATAGATTGGAAAAATTGAAAGGTAAAAGGTGATTTACTAGCAACATATTGTATCTTATTACTGCAAAGAGAGGAAGAAAATAAACACAATCATAACCATGGGTGAATTGATGGTGGAAATTTCATGGGAAATTATACAGTGTATAAAAATGAAGGATGATGTAATAAATATATATAAAGTCATTAAAAAAGGAATTACATATCCACCATTAAAAATAAGGTTCAAGTAGTACTTCATATAGATTTTATTTAAACTTTAAAAAAAGTTGCTACATCTACTTAAAATATTTTAGAGCTTTTAAAAAAATAAAATGCCTCAAATTTATTTTGTGTAGCTCACAAAATCTTTACCAATACTTGATAATTACAAGATCTCCAAATTATAAATGATCCATTGGTGGATAAAGATGCAAAAGAAAATATCATAAGACCCTTTAACAGGCTATTAAAATTATTAGATAAAAATTCGGCAAACAGGTCCTATCTAAATAGGAAAAGAAATGATGAAATAGTAAAATAAGAATAGAAGAAAAATTGTTATTTTTGCATTCTACTTCCCTAAACTACAATTAAATCTGCACAGCAGAGAGAAACTTGGAAAATTTCCATTAAAAGTCTTGAAAATTCATATGGCTAGCTTTCAACTATGCCTGTCAATATTACAATATTACTTGAATTGTTGTGTAATTTAATGAAATCAGAAAATAAATTCCATAATAAATGAAATAATTGAAACAAAAAATATGATATTTTTATATATAATTATAACTCTACAAAATCAGAAAGGTTCTTTTTATGAACATTTACAATAAAGTAGCAATTTATTTATAATAGCCATGAGCTGGAAGCAACCTAAGTGGCCTTTTATTTTTTAAAGACTTATTTATTTATGCATAAAAGAACTGGGGTGTAAGCTGATGTGCACGGGATAGAGGATTCACTAGAGACAGAGTGGGGAGCAGAACAGGCAGATCTACTGAAACACACTGCTGAGGGGAGCAGTGGGAGAGGCAGGAGAGGTCTGTTGTGGCATATGGATTGCTCCCTGGCCTGCTGAGGTTTGAACTCGTGCTGCAGTGGCTGGTGATAGCTTGATAGCACTGTCTCTAACCTCTGCGCCACCAGGGAAGCCTTCCCTAAGTACCCTTTGAAACACACATAGATAAAGAATATGGATAGAGGACCTCCCTGGTGGTGCAAGGGGTAAGTCAGTATTATTAAGCTATCACCAGCCAACTGTGGCACGAGTTCTATCCCCTGCTAGGGAGATGACTCACATAGGGCAGCAGACCTCTCCTGTCTCACCTGCTGCTCTCTCAGCCTTGTATTTCAGTCAATCTGCCTGTTTGTTCCCATTCTGTCCCTGGTGAATCCTTTCACACCCCACACCTCGGGCCTGTACCCCAGTTCTTGTATGCATAAATAGATAAATATTTTAAAAAAAGACAACATGTGATAGATACATAATAGAGGAAAACACGATGATGATATAATAAAAAATTCATGAAATGAAGAAACTATATCAATCACAATGTCATGAATGCAATAGCCAATGCTCAAAATTCAAAAAACAAAACTTGACACAATTGAAAAAAGGAATGAGAGCTAGACATATGTATAATTCTTGCTGGAGATATTAAAACCCTGTCTTAGTAATTAATAATATAAGTATTGAAATAATATTGAACATTTATGGAACCCAATCCAAAAACTGGTGGGAACTGACATTTATACAACACTTCGCACAACAACAAAAGAATGTGAATTATTTTCAAATGCACAGAAAATTTTCCAATACACAATAATCTTTTCCATAAAACAAATCTTAGTTAATTAAAATAATTCAAATAATACCACATTTTTATTCAATCATAAAGAAATTAATCAGAAATAATAGTGAGTGTGTGTATGTGTTTTTGTTGAATTCAACACTGAAAATATGTAAATAAGCGGCTACTTGTCCATGAGACTAAATGAGGTTTGGTTTTTTTTTTAAAGATTTATTTATTTATTTATACAAGCACTGGGTATAGTCAGAAGTGTGGGAGGGTGAGAGAATTCACCAGAGCCAGAGCGGAGAGCAGAACAGGCAGGCTGACAAAGTACACTGCAGAGGGGAGCAGCAGGAGGCAGCAGAGGTCTGCGCAGTGTGGGACCCTCAACCGGTAGCCAGGGATTGAACTGGCCCTGCAGAGGCTGCGGGGCAGCTCTGCAGCCCAGTGCTCAACTGCTGCTCCACTGGGGAGGCCCCAGGTTTGTTTTTTTTTTTTAAGATTTATTTACTTATGCATACAAGAACTGGGGTGCAGGCCAGAGATGTGGGCACCGGGGAGGGTGAGAGGATTCACCAGAGACAGAGTCTGCCCTGCCATGTGGGACCCTCCCTGGCCAGCAGGACTGAACCTGCCCTGCGGAGGCTGCAGATAGCTTCACAGCGCAGCGCTCAACCACCTGCACCACCAGGGGAGGCCCAGCACAGGTTATTTCTATTCAAACAATTTTTGCAAATGGGATTAATGAAGTAGTTTCATCTGATGGTTTTCTTTCTTTTTTAATTGAGG